GGTGCAACCCCCCGGCACCGCGGGCGGGCGTGGCGGCAAGTCCCGCGGGGCGGGCTCGCGTCCGCAGCAGCGCCCTTTCCCTCCCCTCGCCTTCCTTCCCGTCCCTTGCCGTTCCCGCCCGGCGAGGAGCGCGCCGCCGCCCCCGCCGCAGCGGGAGGCTCCCAGCCCGAGCCGGGGGCGACGGGCACTGTGGGGGAGGGAGGACTGAAGCTGGAAAGGTGAGTGCTCGGATTGCCGAAGCGCCGGTCTCGACCCGCGCGTATCGAAATGGAGCTGCCATTTGTGAGCTGTAAGTGACAAGCGTGTAAGTAGCATGAATCATTTAGACGGAAAATAGAAGGAAAAAATTAAAAAAAATCAACTCCGGAGCAATTAGAAGACGCTCCTGATTATTATTTTGGGAGCGGCTCTTAAAATACTAAGTTAAGGAAGCTGCTCTTTCGTCTTGCGCAATGGGACAACCTTCAGTCCTTTTTGATCTTTCATGTCCCTAACTACCAGTTGCCTTACAAAATTATGGATTCAAATAAAGTAATCTTTCTAGACCCATCTTCCCGTCCTGAAGACCCCTCTGTAGATTTGATAGGGGTAGTTTGCTATGCAGAACGAGTCTTCTAGTAACCATGATAAAACTAGTGCTATGTTAAAATGCAGCATATCAATAAACTATACATACTTTAGTGCCAGTGTGAAATCATTACTCTCAGGCGTGCCAACTTTCTGTGTGAGAGCGACAGACAAGACGAAATACAGGGCATGTTTACAAAATGAGCTTTGCTTTCTGAACGAGGGCTTCAGATTGGCTGATGAAAATCGGCGTATTCGTCTGAGTCACTTATTTGGACAAGTCCCCTATAGGAGCAGCACAATTTAAAAAGATGGAAGAAACACCAGAGTGAGCCCTGAGCTATCAGGAGACCTCGTTTCACTGTAACTTGAGTCCTGGGCTTTCCTTTCCTTATTCGGCAGCCTATGCCAAGCCTGTAGGATTTCTCGGGGTGTGCACAGATTTTCTACGCAAGTTCTGGTAACTGGGGAAAAAATAAAAAAAGAAAAAGAAAAAAAAAGGGTCGTTGCAATTATGTCATGGCTCCCTCTAGTGTGCCAGAGATACTGCTGCATTTGGGGTATGTACGTGTCTGTGTGCCGAGGTGTGTACACATTCGGTAACTCTAGTTTCCTTTCTGAGGGAGCAGGAGAGCACCCCCAGGGTAAAACAATAATTTCACTACTGCAGTGACAAATACTATGTAATATATTTGTGATAATGTTTCTCATGGCTTACTTATGTTTAAAAAACCCGAAAACCCAAGATTAACTTTATTTTTATTTTATTTTTTCCCAGGAGGCTAGTGCGTCCATCACTTTTTTCTTCAGCCTAGTGAATGCCTTTCCTTTTTTATATGACTCAGCATTACACAATAAATACTCTGACTCCATAATGAAGTCAATACATTTGAGGGCACTCTGCAGTTTGTAAAACAAGTACTAGGAACTCTGAATTAAGGGGAAAACTACATAACCTTTTATTCAGGCAACTGGAGCTTTGCTTATAAAATCTGCTTTTTTTTAACCCAACATCTTGCAGCTTACAGCATCCCACTGATACTAACAACATGCAAGGAATACTTAGTGAAAAATTAAAACCTGATTCACTAGCATGAGATCCTCAAACCTATACCTGACTACCAGGTGATGATCATA